ACAATATAGTTTAAATTTGCTCAAAGTCAAATTGGACCTTTGTACCTCGCCCTGCTCTACAATATACTTTTTATTGAATTTACTTTAAGTCATCGAATGTTACGTGGAACTTTTCAAAAAGCAGGTCAAAGATAAAATATTTAATTCATTTTCTATCTCTCCACGCAAAAATTTGAAAATTCTGTATAAGCTCAGTAGTATTATTTGCAATTGTACATGAAATCCAGAATCCGAAAAATTGAAACGTAATCAATAAGTCGAAAGACCAAAAAAGACTTGGATTGAATTATACCATGTTTTCTATAGAAAGTGTATAAAACTTCCAGTTTGATTGTGTTGGCAAAATATAGACAAACTAATGGGATTTATTGTTTTTATAATAACTCATTGTATATAGCATTCAAACAACACATCCTTATACACTTAAAGTATTAATATTTTTGATTCTCTAGAAATTGTTTAGAATATACCTTACTTAGCAAAACAACGCTTAGTCGGGTCAGCTAGTAATTCTATATGAGTAAATACAAAAGAACAATGGAATTAGCATTTCGTAATTAATATAAACAAACAATTCACTAAAGATAATCTAACTTATTCATTATACAATTTTGTTGTTCTCTCGTATGCTCCCACCTGCAAACACCGTTTTCTTCATATTAATCCTTATGCAAATCGTATAAATCAAAGTTCAGCAGCGTTAGTTCGTTCCTTAAGTAAATTTATCTGTATACATTTTGTAATTTATCCACGGTTGTGTATCTAAAGAGTCATAAGTTAAATTACAGTTGATCTTGCTAATAATTATGCTTGATTTACAGCCAGAACGCCTCCGATAAATCTCCATACAAAATGCTTTGCAAGGGTTATTATAGAAGCAGGTGCATAGTAGTAAAGGAATTAAATTTCTTAAAGGGGATTATAATATTGTTATTTGATATTAATTATAATTTGGAAAATTTTTGTGTTTCTACTAATATTATGAGAATAATGAATCGGCATATAATTGGTCTCCGGTCCGGTTGGTATGTAAATTCTCTTCGATAAATTAAACCATCTCCTACCATCGGCATGAAATTTAATGTATGAATAAATTATAAATGTATTATTGATATAAGAGAGCTAAATTGGCTTCGCTTATAATTAATATGCTAATGATTTTCAACTACATAATGTCGCTGCTAGGAAATAATGAGTTTTCGTGATAGCATATTCAATTATGTGTGTTTGAAGTTATATTAGAGTTGTTCCTAACAGAAGTGGCTTACTATCTTCAACTAATTAAAATTACTTTGTGCTAGGTGTCAAATAAAAACGACGAGGGAACACTTTAGAAACTTTTATTGAAGGGAAGTAGACGTTTGAATTCAAATTAAATTGTAATAAATTCTCTCATATTAATTTCACATCGTCAATATCAGAAAAATGTACGAGTATATTAAAACCAATACATCAATAACTAGCTGTAAGTGGAATTCTGTCTTAAGTCAATTAAGGCATCGTGCCTTAAGGCAAATTGCTGGAACTTCCCGTACTAATAATTATTATTTTTTTTCAAAAACAATTAACATTTTTGAAAAAATTTTACTTCGAAAAAAATAGATTTTTGAGAAACTATGAATTCGACAATTTTTTTTTTTTTTTGAGAAAAAAGTTTTTTTTGAAAACAAATTTTTTTTGAAAAGAAAAATGTTTTCTTCATTTTGACATATTTTGGCAATTCTGAACTTTTTTTGAAAGAAATCGTACTGCTTGAACTGCATAGAGACGAAATGTCAAAGGGCGCAAGTGCCGCGCCGCCGTCTAACGCATACGGAACCCATAGAAATGTTAAAAAATTGGTACGGAACCCATAGAAATGTTAAAAAAAATATACTTATTGTTAAAATCTCTATAAAAAGTTTGATACTTTGATGTGCATATGCCTAATGATCATTTTTAACCGCCGAATGGCATTTTTTTACCTTTTCCATTAGATCTCCGAAACCGCTAGACCTGCCTTTATGAAAATTTAATAAATTCTTTATCTTGTCAATACAAGTGAAATGTTCTCTGAATTATTCAAATCGGACGCTCCGTTCTCTTAAAAACTGAGTTACCATTTTCAGCACTTTTTGCCTCGTATCTTCGGAACGGCTAGACCTGCCTTTGCCAAAAACTAATCAGCACGTCTCCTTATCAATACGAATCGAATGTTTTTTGAATTATTCAAATCGGTTGATCCGTGTTCCCGGAATCGTCGACGAAAAATTGTATCCGCACACACATACATACACGCACACACACACACACGCACACACACACACACATACATCAATTTTTTCTAAGGTATGCTAAAATATTCAGAAACCTCTGAAACGTTAAGATATATAAAATTTTCATTTTCGATTTTTTTGCGATTACTATAACTTGCCGTACGGGAAGTTAAAAATCGATAAGAATAAAATTAATTTTTAAAATGATCCTCAGTGTCTATCCTTAACTTTGATTCTGATCAGGCCGAGTAGTTGTGTATCTATTATCCCCAAAATGTTTCCATTGTAGATAATTACTCAATAAGGTGTGGATTTCAATTGAAACACTTAGCTGACAAATGTTCTTGTGTCTCTATTATTAACATGACAATAGAGACATCTATTATGTTAACCTGGAAACGGACGCTTGATCTGCATAAACCTATGCGTGTGTCTAAATGACGGAAGACCCTCTATTTTGGCTAAATACAGGTACATATTTAGCCCATATTATATTATTATATTTATATATTATGATTACTTAAAATTCCTACTAAAAATTCAAAAACTTGAACTACAAGAGATACAATTATTCCTTGCTGGAGAATTCGGTGTCAAAGTTTCAATCAGAAGAATTTCTAACATTGATTGATTTTTTGGAGGATAACAGAGTATGATCTCAATTTCGATCAACTACAAGATATTGCATCATTATTGATGCAACTTTCTCAAAAAATTTAGACAATATGCTGACTGAATACATGTCTCAAAGCAATGATATCATATTCGGACTATGATAGTAATTATTTTAAAATTTTAGTATAATGATTGATATTTACCATATTACCAATAAACGATTTTTCAAATTCTTATATAACAAATTTATTAAATTTTAACTTGACTGTCATATTATTTTTGAAGTAAAATTTCTTTAGACGCGACTAGGGAGTAAATCTGTGAAAATGCAACGGAAGTTAGGACTATTATTCGTATTATCATTCTATAAATCTTTGAAGTAATTAAAACAAAAAATACTTTTGTAGGCAAGACTGATATTACAGCTGTTCAGAGAATGAGATTGTATCATCAGCAAAAAAGTTGAAAAAAATATACAAGCAGTCAATGAATGTATGCTAATTTTAATTAAATGAAGTTCTTCAAAGTGGCGAGCATAGCTCACTTGGTAGCGTGTTGGATTAACACGACAGGGATCTTTGAATCAAATCCTGTCATTGACTTAGAATTTATAAAAAAAATATGTGTAGTTAATTTGAAATTAAATGAAAATTGTATTTGTTAAGTAGAAATTGAATAAAAAATAGGTATTACAGATTTCAAAAAGCAGAATTGTATTAGGAGTAAGAAGAAAAAATATCAGAATTTGCAGAGATTGAAAAAAAAAATAAAGAAGAAAAAATATCATAAAGAAGAATTTGATACAAAACAGCAAAAATTGAGGAAATTAAGAAGAAGAAAAATATAGAATAAGATATATATATATATATATATAAATATATATATATATATATATATAGATTGAATATAATATAAAAATTGGTATAGAACGTAAATAAATAAAAATCATGTTCAGAGTAAGCGAAGACAAATAATTTAAAAAAAAAAAAAAATCTTTAAACACAATGACATGAGCAGTGAAGTTGCGATAACAATATTTGTTTCGGCGTTGTTCAACCTAATCCACTGTGTGAACGAATATTATAGAATTTATTAATCAGTAATTACTTCATTTCTCTAATAAAGGTTCATTTATAAATGCTAATTACAATGACAAACCGATCATGTCATATTTGTAGTATGACATTAATTACATTATTGTTTTCAAATATTATACATTTTTTTAATGTTATTTTAAATGTATAATTTATAATTTATTTTCTTATATATAAAAATAGAGCTCGACAAAAAATAGAGATTGTGGGAAAGGTTAGATATTATTTCAAAACCGCGTAAAAACTTGAATTTTTTTAAAAAAAGGTAATTTAAAATGAGATAATTGCATGCGGCTCATACGTCAAATGGTTTTGACAGATAACGTTCAATTAAATTTAATAGGATGTTTCAGATGAATATTATTTATTGTAGTAAGTAGTTTTATTTATACGCAATAACATTGCGCACTGCCCTGTGGTACCCCGCATTCTATATTTCTAATGCTCGAAGTCACATCTTTAATTTTGAACGGCTAGCAAGTGTTATTAGAAACTCAAAATATCAACTTTTATGTAATGTTTGAAATGGCCATTTTTTGGATTCTCTAGAAATTATTTACAAATACCTTATATGGTAAAACAACGTTTGCCGGGTCAGCTAGTTATTATGTAAATATGTATAATGGTTGGCATTAATAAATATGTAAATGCCATCTCGTACAATATCAAAGAAATTTTACTTCAATCGCGTGTGAACCTTACGCGCACTCTTTTTTTTACAATCAAAACAAGTATGCATTACCAAAGCCAGTTATACACATATCAATTTTGTTTGAACTATCATCTCTCAATTCCCACACCAGCATCCACTCTCTGAACAGCATGCAAGAACCAAGATTAAACCAACATCTCGAGATTACCGAAATAGCGGCAATCGAATTATATGCACCCGATAGTAGGTAGGAACGACGCAACCACAATCACTAAGGGAAATACTCCCAAACCCACTCTCGAACCCACTCTCGATCCCATTCTCGAACCCACTAATTCAAACTAACTCTGACTGACTGACTGACTGACTGACTGACTAACTCACCTGTAAGTGTGAAACTGCACCCCGTTACAATAATAAGCGCTATCAGCAGCTCTGCAGAGGGCGGCATGTCTGCGGTTTTGTGATCGGCTTATTGCACACAACTTGCGAGGCGATTCAGGCGATTCAGGCGATTCGGGTTATTCAAGCCGCAGTGGCGGCGGCGGCGGCGGCGGCGGATGGCTCGATTTAGAACTGATCGAGGAGGACCAAACTGGTAGACGGATTCATTTCTGAAATTGAGAAAATATTATATAATTTATTGTAAACTGAATCAGGGGTTAGAATAAAGTTGATGTAGATGGATTTATGTCTGAAAGATTGATATATAATAATAGAAATCAAAAATGATATTCAACGCATTCGTGGGATACAAAAATTTATAGTCATTATTTTTTAATTAAACAGCTTTTTTCAGGGTAGGCAGATTATCATATTTCAATCGTTACATACAATGAATGCTATAGCATCCACGTTCAATATTGTGACTAAATCATAGTAAATCTATTTTAAGCAATGTATTTATGCCCTAGTAAATTAGTTACTACGGCAAAAATAAGATAATACAAAAGTACCTAATGAAACACTTTGTCATCACTTGGACAGACACAATAATCAGAAAAACGTAAGTTTATATAAAATAAAATTCAAAATAATTGACTTCAAAATTCGAATGCTATAGCATACACTTCATTTTGCATCACAATAAAAGTGAATGCTATAGCATTCACGTCCGCGAACGTGTTGATAATTTCGAACTGACCCAATACAATTAAACCAAAATCATATTAGTTGTACCTGCAAGTTTTGTCATTTTTATTTAATATGATATTTATTTTCGGTTTTTCTGTTCAAGCTTTATTGAAACATTTCTTAACATACAATATTTGGTATAAATACGATTTATTGGTTGGGTTGAAATGAAAAAAAAAATCACTTTAATCCTTTCTCACATTTTGAGAGAGCTTTGATTTTATTTTAATGATAACTATTAATGATAGATAATGATAATATTTATGAAATTAACAAATCGTACCATAAGTCAATTTGTTGGAACCTCTCGCACCGTAATTAATTTTTTTTTAAGTTTTTAAGTCTGTTCAAAACTTGGGAAAAATTGGATTTTTGAGAGCGTTAATTTCTTTTAAATTAGATTTTATTAAAAAATTTAAAAGTTTTTAGAAATTAAGATATTTTAAATCTTTGAAATTATTCGAAAATTTTGAATTTTTGTTCAAAAAAATCGCACTTCATAGCAGTTTTAGATGTTAAATAAGAAAGCGCGAGAGCGCCGCGTCGCCGTCTAATGGCTATTAAAATCTTTATGAATTTTATGATAATTTACTGCGCATAAGTCAAATGATCATTTTTGATCACCAAACTGAATTCAAAAACATGTTTACTGGATATCCGAAACCGCTAGACCAGCGTTCCTAAAAATTCAATCAGTTTTTCAGTTCATCAATACAAGTGATTTTTTTGGAGTTGTTCAAATTGCCGATCCGATCTCTTGAAAACTAAATTGTCATTTTTGATTGATTTTTTGGTAGAATGTTATCATGAAATCTTTGACAAAATTTTGTATTCGCTCAAACACACACATCCTTACATCTGAGAATTTAATGGAACCAATTAGGACAAAAGAATTTTAGAATTCTAGAGCCTCCCACCATGAAGCAATGCTTAACGGTGGTTTTAGTCAGGACTAGATGCAAGAGAGAAGCAAAAAAAATCACTTTAGTTGCTATTATGCCTAGATGATATAGAGCCCGACATATCCGGACAAAAGACCTAGTCAGTCTGAAATTAGTAAATGTAAAAGTAACAAGAAACACACGATACAATTTTTTAGGGTATACCAAAATGTTTAACAACTTCAAAATTTACATTTTTGATTGACGAATATTGTAAAATTGAACTTTCGTGAAATTTATTCTTTATTTTGTTACTCATCTCTCAACCATTGAATCACAGCAAAATGTGACAGGGTGCAGCTAGTATATATATATATATATATATATATATATATATATATATATATATATATATATATATATATATATATTCTTATATGTATTTCCAACATCTCATTGAGAAGACGTTTAAGAAATTCGACGTCATTTACAAAAGCTGAAACTCTTCTCCTAGTATATTCTCCCTTAGGAAGTGCACAATGGTTAATTTAGTTGAAGACGTCTGCAAGTCTCTCCACCAGGTGATGGAACGTGTCGCATCAGTCGACCGGAAATTAGAAAGTATTGCGGAAATGCCCTCCACTGGCATTCTTTGCCACAATAATGGCATAACATAGACCATAGACTGAGCCGAAATGAACTACTATTGACGTGAGAGACGAACGAACCTAAGGTGTATATTTCAAAAGAGCAGGAGATGGCTTGAAATTGGAGGAAAAATATTTGGTATTTAATAGAAATGTATAGCAAAATGTGACTATGTAATTTAAAGAATTTTGTAGCTATACTAAAAAGCTTATGCTCTGATAACAAAGCTATGTTACACTATCGGTCTCCAGAGATGTCCCAAATAAGGAGATCGCTTGAAATTGCAAGAGAATGTTGAAGGTATATATTTCAAAGGAGCAGGAGATGGTTTAGAAATGGAGGAGAAATATTTGGTATTTAACAAAAATATATAGCAAGATGTGACTATGTAATTTAAAGAATTTTGTATTTATACTAATAAGCTTATGCTCAGATAACAAAGCTATATGTTACATTATCAGTCTCCAGAGATGTCCCATCGGAGAAGGAGATCGCTTGAAATTGCAGGATAAATATTTGGTATTTAACAAAAATATATAGCAAAATGTGACTATGTAATTTAAAGATTTTTTTTAGCTATACTAATAAGCTTATGCTCAGATAACAAACCTATGTAACATTATCAGTCTCCAGAGATGTCCCAAGAGAGAAGGAGATCGCTTAAAATTGAAGGAGAAATATATTTGGTATTTAACCAAAATATATAGCAAAATGTGACTATGTAATTTAAAAAAAATGTAGCTATACTAATAAGCTTATGCTCAGATAATAAACCTATGTTACATTATCAGTCTCCAAAGACGTCCCAAATAATAATATGTTCAAGGAAGATTTGGTAGTCTCCGTTTATCTAAGTATATTATTTTGACAAATAGTGTTTTCTTACAGTATACTTCAGTTTGTTTATTACATCCTTTTAAATAAATCTTCGTCAAAATGTAGCTTCAATAATTATTTTCATAACCATCTGTGTTATTAACTTCCCATAGAGTAAGTTATAGTAATCGCAAAAAATCAAAAATGAAAATTTTTGCATATCTTTACGTTTCAAAGGTTTCTGAACATTTTGGCATATCCTATAAAAATGAATGTATGTTTGGATACAATTTTTAGTCAACGACTTCGGACGCTTGGATCAACTGATTCAAATGATTCGAAAAACATTCGATTCCTATTGATGGAAAGACGTACTGATCAGTTATTAGCATAGGCAGGTCCAGCCGTTTTGAAGATACATGACATAAAGTGCGAAAAATACTAATTCAGTTTTGAGAGAGCGAAGCGCCCGATTTGAATGATTCAAAAAACATTCTACTTGTATTGACGAAATAAAGAATTGATTAAATTTTTGAGGAGGCAGGGCCAGCGTTTACGGAGATCCAATAAAAAAAAAGAAATGCCATTTGGCGGTCAACAATTATCATTAGACATATACACATCAAATTTCAAAATCTTCAGAATCATACAAAGTTTGTTCTAAATATAGATTTTAATTCAGTTCAAACATGTATGTATTTCATATGCGTTATTGTATTTCTAAGAAATATATCCTCAGATGGATTCATTCGGCATCTCTTTTTAATGTAAACATTCTTAAGTATTTTTTTGTGATAAAATCGTCACTGTATTATATATGAACGAATATATAGTACATATAGTTTCTTCTAATCAAAAATATTTAAAACAATTGTTATTAATCATTGATAAATATTCATCTTGATAATATTTTTATAGTGTGAGCAAAAGCACCCACCGGCCCTTACCCTATAAGCCTTATGTTTCGCATGATTCTTTTTCGCGAAAAGAAAGATATAATCTTCTTACCTCGAAAGAAAAGGGTGTGAGCCATATCTGCTCCATTTAATAATACAACGGGTCTTACATTATTTTAATTCCCGTCGCGGGCTTTTTTGTCGAGATACTTTTCTGTTAAAAAGTGCCGGCGTAGAAAATCTTTTTAATTTTGCCGGCGACATTGTGATCGTTCGTGAAAATTTTATTAGCGCGAAAAATTCTAAAGGACAACTAGGTTGAAGTAAAAGTGGTGCTTTTGCTAATTTTAGGTGATTATGAGATTATGATAATTCTAAAGGATTTTTGGATTAGTAGTTTGAAACTAGCATATATAATATATATTATATCCTGAAAATCGATTGCAAGACTTTAACATAAGTGTGATTATCGTATACTGTCTTTTAGAATGGAGTTTCACATTTCTGTAAAACGATGCCTAAAAATCCGTTGGTAAGAAGGCCCACTATTATTTCAAAAATGAGCAGTCTGGAAGGTTTTAATAATGCTATTTTAAAGTAGAGGGCAAATTATATATAACTAGCCATAGCATTAAATTGGGCAACTTTGCTATCACCAGATAAAAGACCATATTATCAATTATTTAATCAAAATATTTATTCGTTGTTTTCAATTTGAGTAGTGTTAATTAGTTTACGATACCTGAATATAATTTTTAAGTATCAAATTTATGTTTTGTAAATTCTATAAGTTCTATATGTTTTGTAAATTTAATAATTTTATATAAATTGCTATTTCAAATATGTCTCAATTATTGTGGCTGTTGCCAACGCAACATTAATCTCAATTAGGAAAAGAGGCTTCAAAAAATTAATTCTTCTTAAGACGTTTGACTGATGTCGCAATTATTCTGAGTACAAAATATTTCAGCATGAAAATAGATTTGAAGCAGCAGGAATCATAAATTATTATTAATACTTAATGTTAAAGTTATTCAATTAAAAACATTGTTTTTATCACTTTGTTAATGATAATTGTTAACTATATTAATAATATCGTTCTACATGACATATATG